GTGTAAACGAAGGGCACAAACGAAGGAAGATGTCTCCATTTATCAAAATCACCGTGTACGTGTAAACGGCCTCTGAGACTACTTAACATAAACTGTATTTATTAAGTTGTGTTCCACTGGCCGTTTATTTCAGGCCCCACCTGTTTCTTGTTAACTAATTGGTAAAGCTATTGTGACAGAGGCCAGTTGGCAGCTGCTGAAGGTGTTTGCAATCTGTTTCCTTGTTCTAGGCAATTTGACTTGTCATACCAGGAAAAGCACAGGTGAAACAAATGTTGCTAACAATGGCCCTGTTCCATGAGGTGTCCCAGTAAGCCAAGCCATGGAGCCAGCTCACCCACAGTATCAATTGCACCTGTGCTTTTCCTGCTATCACATGCCAAATGTCTGCTGTGAAAAAGGCCTTTTGAGACTGTGTGCACAGACAGTTACATTATGATTGTAGAAGTTTGGAAGAGTTTATTTTATGGTATTTTGTTTTGCCAATTTAACTTGTTTTCTACTGTTACTATTGGTCTTTTCTTTTTCTTTAAGCTGTTTGCCTTTGTTTTCTCTTTTGAAGGCTTCTGGTGAAGTCTATGAGGGACATCAGAGCAGAGGGTGCCAAGTATGATGAGCTACTCAAGTATGTGTGCCTTTTTTTTTTTTTTCCTTAGTACTTCTAACTTCAATGTTGTTAGTCCAGTTTGTTTAATCTGTCTGTCTATTTTCAGGCATCACAGCAGTGATTCCACACAGGAAGGAGCTTCTCTAGCTGAGAAGACCAAAAGGGTATGTTATGTTATGTTTGTAAAACTGCATACAGAATATTAGGCATGGTTTGAACTCCCCATGCGTTAAGACATTACAACAGTGCTGAAGCTTTCCCGTGTAGGGAAATACTAAAATTAAGATGAGTTTCTGAATGATTTGTATTAAGAAGTGTTTAGCTCACATAGGTTTTTGGCTTTCTTAAGGTGCGCGCCCTGTGGTCAGACATTGATGAAATGCTGTCAGCTATCAAAGAGGAGCAACATGCAGTGGAAAGTGTTTTGAAGGGGGATGTAGATCAATACATCCTGGATGGGACGGATCGAGTCCTCAAAATTCCTCGCAGTCTGCTGGAGAGAATTGAACAACTTCCTCATCAGGTGAGAGTGTAGATAATACAGACGTTAATTCTTATACATAGCACATAAGATTCTTATTCACATTTTCTGTCTAAGCACTGATACAGCATGTGAATTTACCTTATTAACTTTGGTTTGTGTGCATGTTTTCCAGCTGAGCTCAGGACATGTGTATGAGGCAGGTCAGCTGAACCTCCTGTGTGTGTTTGAGCTGATGAACCATGCGCTGCAGCTCCTGAGGGAGGAGCGCTTACGGGTCTCTGACGCCCCCAAGCCTCAGCTCAATCCTGAGCACCTGCAGGAGAAATGTCAGCAGATGGCTCGTGCGCTGCAGAACCTCCACCTCATCAGGTATCATTTACCCACACGGGCATGATAGGATGCACTTTCTTTCTTTTTTTGTAATTAAAGGATTTGAATTTTGGATTTTCTCAAATGTGCAGCTTAATGTTTCTTTCTGAGGTCTATCTGTGTAAACCCCCAACTATTTTTAGTGTGGAAACTGCACTGGTTAATGGAGCATTCTGTAATCATTGGAAAGAATTGCCTCTTTAGTATTTGCTTGCCAGCTGCATGTCAGATGACCTTGACTACGAGTGTATCAACGTCGTCATCTTGTTTTCTCCCCTTAGACAGAGGATGTCCAAAGAAGAAATTCCTGAGCTCAGGAGTACCATAAAACAGTTGGAGGCTGCCTGGGACAGGAAGTGGATGGATACCTTGAAAGACACACCCCTTGTCTCTTTTCTAAATGAAGATCCGGTGAGTGGTCCTTGGAATTTTTGAACTTTGCTCACTACAGTCACAATATAGTCAGTGTACTTTCCATTTTGTGTGTGCTTGAGAGGGGGAGAGAAAGTGACAGAGCAAGGGGGGAATAGAAGTTAGAAAGTGACTTATTGCACACAGTGTTTCTGCAAGTTATTAGCTTGAAGACTTGGAATGCCTTGTCATGTTTTGACTTGCTATTTTTTTAAGTAAGAGAGCCCCTGGTGAAAGATCTTGTGACTGGGTGTTGCCAGTCACTAATGTAGTGTGAAAACCACAACGGCTTCATGGCTCCAGATTAATAGACAACAAGTTTAGTGTACAGCAATCTGACAAACAGGAACAAGAGAGGATAATTTGTCACGTTACCGTCTGCTGCTATGTGTTCTTAAATTTAATATTTAATTTGCTCTCTTTAGGCCCTTGGCTTCCTCTCACCGATGGCTCCGCTGTCTTTTGAACCAGCAGCTGACACTAGTTACAGAAGCAGTGTCTTCTCACAGTACCCTGCAACTCTTCTTGGTGAGCAGAATCTGATCACATGCATATCAGGCCATGTATTCATTTGGGTGTATCGCAACATTGCAGTTCTTGTTTCTAATCGTGCTTCTGTCAATTTTCCAGAGGAGAAGCCTGCAGAGAGTAAACCACAGGAAGGTGTTCCCCCTAGTTCTCAGCTGAAGAGGTAATGTAATCCATGTTTGAACAGCTCATAAGGGAAATGTAAGCTTATATCGACATTTCTCATGTTCGTTTATTATTCGAAGTGCGTTTGTATTGGTTTCTGATGGGAGGCAGATACCTGGGCAGTCCTGAGCAATGATCTGTCCGTCACAAGTCCTCCCTACAGCATCCATGCTCTCTGATGACCGCGGCGAATTGAGAGAAATCGCCACGGACAGATACGGAGCAGACACTTGTTAGTTCTTTACGAACCAACCTCATGGTCTTGTCTACATTATAAGCTACTGAAATAAGAGCCTGACTTTAAAGTTCTTTTTTTTTTTTTAAAGCATTAAGATGCTTTCTGTGTTGCGTTCACTGTAACTGAGCTCACACTGTGTGTAAACTGTTTTTGAATAACAAATCAAGCTTTTTGTCTTTGAAACAGCTCTTGCCCTGCAGCAGCTGAGCGGGCTGAAAGTCCTGTTGTCACCACTCACGTGCCATCAAAGGCAAATACCTCTCTCGACTGGTTATTCGACACACCATCCCCTCCTCCTCTAAGGGCTCCATCAGAACCACCACCTCAGGCTAGTATTATATTTCAGTCAAACTCCTGTTTATTGGATTAACTACACCTTTGACTTTGTGTGCACCAGTTCTTCTGAGAAACTGTACTTAACAAAGCTGTGCTTGATGTTTAGGCCAGTGTTAGGAAGACAGCCCTTGTTCATCAGAAGGTGGCTCCCACGAAAACCAAGACTCAGATATTGGACATGGAATGTGATAACCTTGCTGATCAGGTACAGTGATGACTTTCAAAACTAGGCTGCAATCTAGGAGCTTAGAATCTTGAATACTGTCTTTGTCTGGTCATTTAATAGTTTAGCTGCCCTTCCAGTACTTATTTAAGCTGTATTTCTATCTCTAAGCCTTGGTTGAGGTGTTACGTGACCACAGAAGATGAAAAAATTGGGTTGGTGTGTGTTAGTTTGCAGATGCTGTAACAACCAGTCCCCCAGAAGGCAGGGTCAAAGGTCTGGACTTGGATAGCCTTCTGGGTACTCTTCAAGGAGATCCCTTCTCTACCAGAAAGCAGCTGCCACGTACACCTGAGAGCTTGAGTAAGTGATGAGCTGCTGCATGTGCCCTCAGCCTTACGTTATGGTGAATTGAGACCAAAGAATGTGGCCTCATAAAACCAGCCAAGTCTAAAACTGAAATATATTTCTTTCTTGTTTTTGCCCCTTTAAGTTCTGGATGTGAAGAACTCCTGGCGTAAGGCAGTTGAGGAAGACAGAGCCGAGAAAATCGGCCGGTTAGCCAAGTTCAGCGACAGCATAACAGAGCGGCTCACCCCCCTCAGCGAGCATGTTGTGTTGCTGAGTCCTGATGCTCCCTCCCACAGTCAGTCCTACAGTATCACCCCTCATGTCACAAGCCTCAGCAGCCCCCCTGTCAGCCAGCAGGGAGTCTCACTCAAATCCTCTCTGTTGTTGGACACCTTCAGCATCAGTGGCACGGGCAGCAGTGCCGTCCAGTTCAGCCTCGACCACGAAACACTCCCCGAAATGTCGAGCTGCGACAGTCTACTGAGCCTCGATGACGAAGCGGTGGATATGAAGAGTGAGGACGATGATGAGCTTCTAATCCCCTCCCTGAAAATGGAGGCAACGCGATCGCCACTGAGCGCACATCATCATCTGGGTCAGAAGCAGCAGGCGTGTGATGATGGCTCCTTCATGGAAAGCAGGAAGAGGACACCTGAGTGTCTTCTGATGGATCACAGAGTATCTGGCTTGGACAATGACTGGTTACTGGAGCCTGCAAAGCCAGTGGAGGCCACAGACAAGGTCTTTTCACTGGACTTAGACAGACTAGAGACACCTTCACCCCCCAAAAAGCAGGAATACAGCCTTCCAAAACTGATTACATTCTCCCCGATTGATGACATGAAGTGTTAACTTCACTCATACAGAAACCACTTTTCAGCCTCAACTGTCTTAAACTGTCTGCCTTGATTTTTAAATAGATGTGTAACAAACATTTGTACATAGCTGTAAAATAACCTACGTCTGTCTCACTAAATTACTTTCCTGTGCTTAAGTTTATGGCTTTTAATTTAAAATAAGACATGAACTGCTTTAATAAAATTGTAAAGTGTCTCATTTCCTTTTTGCTTGTGAACATAATTAATAACTTCAGCGTTTTGCCTGTGCAGCACAACATGGAGCTTAAATGGATCTGTAAATCCATTAAAATGTTGGGCAACAGAAGCATTTGAGTCCACTGTATTCATTTAAAAAGCTAGTCTGCCTCTTACTTGTAACATTTTCATTACACTTACCATAATTTTGAACCACACAGTGTCTAACAGGATTTAAAATATCTGCAGGAATGTGAACACAAATATGGAAGGAGCCAGGCAAGGTTGGAAGTTGTAGATTTTCCTAAATGTTGGATTAAACAATTGGAAACAAAATTGTTGTGCCTACAAGCTACTGTTTACATCCAAAAAATGTACACTTGCATGCTATGCAGTCATCTTTACAGTGTAATTGTGTGTCTCATACACTGGGCCTGGGGCTTCAAGTGTTTTTCGAGAGCAGCAAAAATATGAAGGTTTCCTCGTGCACCTGTTGCTTTTTTATATATATATATATATAGAGAGAGAGAAAGAGAGAGAGAGAGAGAGAGAGAGAGGTGTAACTTCTCTCAGTTTAAGATGGGGGGCGTCAGAAGCTGAGCAAAGAAAAGTGAGTCAAGGCAACAGTGACGATTCAGAGAAGGCGGAAGTTAAATATCACCTTCACAATAAAACGCAAAATTTGCCACTAGGGGAATTTAACTGTAAAATTGATAAAGAAACTTTTTTTCCATTCAGTATATTATGGGTGTTTCAAATGCCACACCCTACCAAAAAAAAGTTTAGAAAGGCAGCATATTTGGAAACAACTAGGCTATATAGAAAAAGGATAATGGAATTTAATAAATATCATTCAAACATATACACTGCAATATTTTGGCCAAATATAGGATTTGTATATTGTAAAAACAGGCTATATATTAGGGGTGGGAATCACAAGTGACCCCGTGATACAATATTTTAGTCACAATACAATACTGTTGCAATTTTAAATGTGTTGCCATACGCTGAGTATTGCAATAGAATATATTGTGATAAATTGTGATTTATTACCTTTTTTTTCAACTGCAAATTATGTCCCCAAAGGAAATCTTTGTCAACTTTTTTTTAACCTAATCAAATAAAGTTTTCAGTCTGTTCATTTCACTTCAGTCATTTCTATTGTAGCAAGATGTATCTAATGGACTGAGAAAGCATTTGATTTTATAATTTTAGTAAGCTACCAAACGTTTCATTTGTATTTGTAATGTAATATGTAACTAATTTAGTTGGCCAGTTTTTGTTTAGATATGGCAATAATTACTTAAAAATAAGTAATAAAAACCAAACTTTTCATCCCAGGCTACTATTACTTTACTACTACTACTACTACTACTAACAATAATAATAATAATAAAAATAATAATAATAAATTTATTGACAATTTCCTTATAGCGTTTAATAAAGAAATAACTTTATTGGTATTTAGGAGTTTTACTTTGAAGAGACACACCGGAAGTAGCCGGTCTTACGTGAGCTACCTTGTTGGCGCTGCCCGCGGCCAGGCGGCGTCAGCCTCTGTCAGTTGCAGCAGGGACTGAAGCCTCTCCTCTTCTCTGGGCGGTTCCAGTCTGCGAGAGACGTTTAGGAAGAAAGCCCACTAACAAAACTATCAGCGCAGACACAAACATGGCGCCTGCCTCCGCCGACAACTTCAGATGAAAGTGTGGCGAAGCAGCAAAGTTTCACAGGAGTACCTCGAAGTGGCTTTTTTCGCGCGCGCCGTCCTGTTTTTACCTGTTTCGGTTTGCACACGAAGAAATACGGAATATAACAAGCGGGTAAAAACAGCAAGTTGCCTACATGTCAACATTGTCTCTCGCTGCAGTGTAAACAGCTGGTAAGTGCTCGTATTTTTCAACATGGAGATAGCTGAGACTCAGCAGAGTTTGTTGTAGGGGTTAGACATAGTAGTTTAAGTATTTAAAGGTAGCTTTAGTTGTGTTTGAGTAACGTGAAAAGACATTTTCCTGGTGTTGTGCTGCTGCGGTCAGCCTCTACGCTTTTCCCCGTATGTTCTCCAACCGCGGAAAGACACACAGCCACGTATCACTGCACAGGCAGATTACAGGAGGAAATTCACATTGTTATATCCGCGCTGGTGTGTATTTCCTGCATGAAAGTTGACCTAATTATGGGTCGGATGCAACAGTTGGGAATATAACACCCCCCTCCTCTTCCTCTCTCCTCCCGGGCCCTCCTTGACGCCAGATAATCAGACTGAGCTCTCCTGGAGCCTGTCTAACCTTGCAGGTGTCTGCTCTCAACCACGCTGGACTACCTGCTTGAAATCAAAGACATATTTACAAAACAGAAGGAGAGTTTTGCAGCTTAATTTACTCAGACAAGAAACTGCTAACCTGACTTCCTTTTGGACATGTGCTTTGCTTCCATCCAGGGACTTTCTCTCTGAATATGCAATGTCTGCATTTGCCTGACCCTAAACCTAGGACAGAGTTGTGTAAGATATCTCTGCTGGTTTTTTGATGATGTGTGTTAGGTGAGCACAAATGCCATTGAATACATCGCCAAGGTGCTCACATATCTATGCCTCAGCACTTGACCGTGTGCCAGCCAGCAGCAGTCTAACCCCTAAGGGCAGCAGAGTACTCCTAGCTCCGGCTTCCCATCACCGTTTTGGGTGATTCATGGCATGCATGTGATGTTCCTGTTATGACAGCCGTGGCACAAGTCCCAGCAGAGAATGGCACTTCCTCTTGCATTGTACTGACTGCATTCATATTTTGACGTAGATGTTTTGCCACCTGAGATAGCAGCAGGAATGTCAGATGATAAAAGAATAATCAAAGCTTGTGGAGGAAGTAGATTGTGGAGTTGCATCAGCAGTTGAGCCGTTGACACGTGGAAACGCAGCAGAAAAATCTCTCCTTGACCTTGGCTTGGCCTGACAGCGGCTGGAAAATGGGAGTGGAGTGAATGTTGCCTCCTACTTACTGCTACAGGCAGCAGGTATAAAGTAGGTCACGGCTTCACTGTGGCTTTGTGTACATTGAACTTGCACTTTGTCACCACCGCCGGTGTCCAAAGGTTTTGTCAGGTGACCAAGGAGAGGAAGTAGATTGGCTAAAGGAGCGGCAACAGGCTGTTGAAGGACTCTGTGGTTGCCTTGGCAAAAGTCAAATTGGTTTTTGACGAGTGTGAGAAAAGCCAGAAGTTCATTCTGTGGGACAGCGAGAGAAGTGTTTCCCCAAGAGCATCAAATGTGACTGTGTCTGAAATATCTGCTATGATTCATCAGTGCAGATCTCTCTTTAGTGAACTAACATCTCAACTGCTTTTATCTTTTATACTTCAAACAGCAATACAGCTGCTTACACTTCAGCCAGCACTTCAGCTGGCATCGCCTTTCAGTTTATATGCTTGAACTGGCACTAATTTCTGTCAGGACTTCCACTTCAACTGACACATACAGGTCAATTTATCACCTACATTTTGACTGATATTTCACCTCCTTTCAGGACGTCATGTTCCAACGAGTCATCACTCTGTATTCACTTTAACTAATACTTCAACTTTACTCATCACCTAAACTTAAATTGACTTGTGATGTTCCTAATGGCTAAATTCTTTGACTTTTAAACTAAACTTGGACTAGTCCACTCGTCTAATAGTAAGTCAACACTCAGAAATCAGTGAAAATTGAGCACAGTTTCATCTTTAAGGTCAAACACCGTCTGAAAAAATATTGCGTATTGTAAGAGCCATGTAAATTGTTTATCACATTTTTCAATAACCAAATGCTCCTGAGATCTGTGGCACTTTGCACTGTGCATTGTGAATATTGCAAATAATCCTACAACACATGACGACAACTCGCTAAATAAAACTGAGCAAACATTATTTATTAATAAGCTAATAATAAAATTAATAAGCTTTTATTTACTCTATATAATACATAAAATTTCACCCCCTAATGTCTATTTTATATTGCTGTGAAAACATCAACAAATTTCTCCTTCTAACAATTATTTTTATTCAAGTTTCTCGGCAAAATCTACATTTTACAAGATTACATGAAACACATCATGTTAACGTTATAATTTACCTTCGCCTAATAGTCATTTTTACTGAATAGAGCTTGAACACATCATAATACAAGTCATTGCAGTGTCCCTGAGCTGTTTTGTTGTGGTCACCGACTGCTTAAAGCTGACGCTAACTAGCTCTCCTCCTGCTGATTTAAACACAGATTCATAATGTAGCATTATCAGGGAAACAATAGGGTGCGTCCTCTGACACTATGATAGGGAGTTTACTGTGTTGTCCGTCCTGAGGGCGCCCCAGTGAAGATCTTTGTTTGTCCTAAACACATTTTCTATTGTCCCCGGGAGGACACAGGACTTCAGCTGCTAGCCATCTCGTCACACATCAGATCACAGAGCCAGTTTGCCAAACAGTCATTGTATTCTTTGTGTTCCTGTTCATTAATTAAAGTTTGTAGCCATTAGTCTCAAGCACTGCTCTTTAGCTTGCACAAAATTTATGTGACACAAGAGAAAAGCATCGACCACTGCCATCAGTGAGCGTCACCTTATTTGCCTAAAGGTTGATGTCAGTCAGTAAGGCGAATATCAGCAGATACCAATGTTCAGCTGATACATCACTGCATCCCTAACAAGTTCAATTGATTAGCATTTCTGCTGCCAGCTAGCAAGGTTAGCAACGTTAAATCAACCAGTCCACTAACCCACACATCCCACACTTGAATTGACACTACCTACAGTGTTAGGTTTTGGTTGACACTTTAAACCCTCATTCCCTCAACTTCCTTTGTTCATACACTTCAACTGCTTTCAGTGCTTACACTTTAGCTGACATTGTCTTTCAGTTTAAACACTTCCTGGAACGGACACTTACTGGTCAATTCATTGCCTACACTTTGACTAACATTGCAACTCTGACATTGTCTGACATTGTCTTTCAGTTTAAACACTTCCTGGAACTGACACTTACTGGTCAATTCATTGCCTACACTTTGACTAACATTGCAACTCCTTTCAGAGGTTGACGTTGTGTTTCAGCAGACACTTCAACTACATCTTCTTCAGCACTTCATCTATTTCAGATGTTTAAAGTGTGAATTGTCACACACAGAAAATGTAGTCTTTTCTTTTTAGGAATTAATAACTCATGCAAAGGAAATCTTCCTCCATAAGGGGTCTGCGGTCATCATCAGCAACACCATAGCATCCCCAAAGATGGTAGAGATTCATTGTCTGGCTCAAGGACACTTCAGTAACCCCAGTCTTCTTTCTCACCGTTGCTATTGCTGTTACCAATATTACTAATTGGTGTTTCTACTTCATTAGCCAGAAATACCTGCTGTTTTTATACCAAGACTACTGACAATGCAAGTTCTTGGGCTTGCTGAGCAAATACTTACCTGAAACACTTCATTGCATTTTGCTAAGCTGCCTGTTTGCATGTCTTAAGACATATTAACTCCAGATAGTTGTTTCTAGCCAAAGAGCAACAACAGGTAAGTTGTAAGCCAGCCAGAAACCCTCTCAGGTAACCTGTTTCCTTCCTCTGACCCTTGTACTTTGGTGTGACGTGCCAGTTTGTGTTATTGTCGTTTTCTTTCAGTAGGCCTGGGTCTGAGCTGGTCTCGGCCCAGCTAGTTAGTAAGGGCAATGAGTTTGCCCTCTCTCCCTTCTTCTTAGAGTGGAAAGAATGCTCTCTGTCCGCTGGCCTGTCATGCTCCAGGAGGGAGGCAGTCTTGTGACGTTTCTGCTGAGCCTAGCCTCGTTGCTCTCAGCTGCCTCTCATCGCCTAAACCTACCCAGGTTGTTTTTAAGTCCACAAAGTCATATTTACAGCAAACTATACATCATTTGACTAGATTTGAAAGTCTTGCCACTGTCCTTGTCTAACCTTCTGGTCATGTTGAGCATAGCCACTCGCTGCCATTGGCTGTGTAGGCAACAGTTGTTTATGACACACTTCAGCAAAGTGTGTCACTTTATCCTGGAAGCACACCTGCCTCTCCAGTCACATGCTCAGGTGTTTGTAGAGTGTAACTACAGTCCTCCAGTGAGCCAGGAAGAAAAAGTGGAAATTTTCAGCTTCAGTTATTCGTCACCGGTTGCTACTGGCTGCTTTGATGTTGTCTTCATAAAACATTAAACGAGAATCCAGGGCTGTTGGATTGCTGTTGCACTGACAAAGATTTACAGAGATATGATACTGAAAGGGGAACAGATGGTTTGTACGTGCCTCCAGTGATAGGCTTTAGTGGATGTCCGTTACAGTGCTGAAGCTGTTTGTTTGTCAGTGAAGGACAGTTTTGATGACTATGTGTCAAATAAAAACTCCAAACCTTTACTAGTTACAGCTTTTACAATGTGAAAAACAACCATTACAGATTGACTGCTTTGTGTTGTTTTTTTTTGACTGGCACAGTTACAAGGCAGTTTGAAGTCATTTTCTAGCTTCAGTAAATAGGCATTTGTCATTATTTTCAAAGTTCTTATAGATTTACTAGATTGTCCTGTTGAGTGCTGCAGGGGGGCTGGAGCCTGTCCCAGCTGACATTGGGCAACAGGCAGGGTACAACTATGAGAGATCGCCAAACTATCACAGGGCTGACACATAGAGACACACTCACATTCACACCTACAGCCAATTTAGAGTCTCTAATTAATGTAACCGGCATGTCTTTGGAGTGTGGGAGGAAGCAGGAGAACCTGGAGAAAACCTGTGCTGACATGGGGAGAACATGCAAAATCCATACAGAAGGGCCCCGGCTGGCTGGTGGTTCAACCTGGAACCTCCTTGCTGTGTGGCGACAGTGCCAGTGTGCTGCCCCTATTTAATTAT